ATCCATCCATCCATCCACCCAACCATCCATCCATCCACCACCCAACCATCCATCCATCCAACCATCCATCCATCCATCCAACCATCCATCCTCCATCCATCCATCCATCCATCCATCCATCCATCTGTCCATCCATCTATCCATTCATCCACCTGTCATCCATCCATCTATCCATTCACCTGTCCATCCATCTATCCTCTCCATATCTATCTACCCATTCATCTACCCATCATCCATCCATTCTCCCACTCACCCATCATGCATCTATCTATCTATGTATCTATGTATCTATGTATCTATCTATCTATCTATCTATCTATCTATCTATCTATCTATCAATCATCTATATCTATCTATCTATCATCTATCAATCAATCTATTATCTATCTAACCATTCATCCACCCATCATTTATCCATTCTCCCACTCACCCATCATGCATCTATCTATCTATTTATCTATCTATCATCTATCTATCTATCTATCATCTAATTATCTATCATCTATCTATATATCCATTTATCTACCATCTATCAATCAATCTATTATCTATCTATCATGTATCTATATACCCATTTATCTATCATCTATCAATCAATTATCTATCTATCATCTATCTACCATCTATCTATCACCTATCTAATCTATTATCTATCTATCTATCTATCTATCTATCTATCTATCTATCCATTCATCCCACCATCATCTATCTCTCTTCTTCTCATCAAGCCAGAAAATAACCCCGTCTGATGGATGATGGAAGACACCCAGACCCCCATTGCGCCCATTACAAGTGAGGTTTAGCACCCTCGATGTCCTCTCAGCCCTTTAAAATTCTCTGTGCTGCATATTTTTTTGTTGTTTTATGAAATTTTTACATTTAAATTTTTTGTTCATTGTTTTGCACCATAAGTAAAGGTATATATATATATATTCTTTTTTAATTTCAGAGAGGAAGGAGAGGGAGAGAGTTAGAACCATCAATGATGAGAGGGAATCATGGACCGGCTGCCTCCTGCACGCCCCCCGACTGGGGATGGAGCCCTCGACCTGGGCATGTGCCCTTGACCGGGAATCGAACCCGGGACCTCCTGGTTCATAGGTCGAAGCTCAACCCCTGAGCCATGCCGGCCGGGCTAAAGGTACATATTCGAATGTTAAGCTTCAAAACCAAAATAAAAGAAAATATAAAATCTCTCCCTTTCAGGAGCCTAAATTGTACTGGTTCTCAAAGTGTGAGATGTGGAACCCTAGAGGGGTGTCCCTGAGACCCAGAGGTCCACGGGGTGGGAGGGTGGGGTGGGGGGTTGCTCAGAATTGCTTTCATAAGAATACAAAGACCTCGCCCTGGCGGGTGCGGCTCAGTGGATAGAGCATCAGCCTGTGGACTGCAGGGTCCCAGGTTCGAGTCCCGGTCAAGGGAACATGCCCAGGTTGCAGGCTTGATCCCCAGTGCGGGGCGTGCAGGAGGCAGCCGGTCCATGATTCCCTCTCATCATGGATGTTTCTCTCTCTCCTTCTCCTTCCTCTCTGAAATCAATTAAAATAAATTTAGATATATAGATAGATTGCTAGATTGCTAGGTGATAGATAGATAGATGGATGGATAGATAGATAGATAGATAGACAGATAGATAGATAGATAGATAGAGTTCTACATTGCCTGGTCGGCATGGCTCAGTGGTTGAGCATCAACCTATGAACCAGGAGGTCGGGGTTCGATTCCTGGTCAGGGGCACATGCCCGGGTTGTGGGCTCCATCCCCAGTGGGGGGCGTGCAGGAGGCGGCCGATCCATGGTTCTCTCTCATCATGGACTGTCTCTCTCTCTCTCTCTCTCTCTCTCTCTCTCTCTCTCTCTCTCTCTCTCCCTCTCCCTTCCTCTCTCTATAAAAATCCATTAAAAATAAATAAACACACGACGGTGGTGTTTGCCCGGATGGGTCTAGAAGCGACAGGGGAGGAACCTGCTGGGGCAGTTGGGTTGGTTCAACGGGGACAGGACTCTCCCTCCCCCTCCTCCTCCCCCTCCCCCTCCCCCTCAGGTGACATTTGCTGAGCAGGTAGCCCAGCCGGAATGTTGAGATGGGCCCAGCCTGCACGACAAGGACGACATGTCGGAACACGTAGGTCCCTGTAGCTCAGTGGTTCTCAACCTTCATAACGCTGCGACCCTTTAATACAGTTCCTCATGCTGTGGGGACCCCCAACCATAACATTATTTTCGTGGCTGCGTCATCACTGTACCTATATCATCTATATCTATATCTATATCTATATCTATATCTATATCTATCTATCTATATCTATATCTATATCTATATCTATATCTATATCTATATCTATATCTATCTATATCTATATCATCTATATCTATATCTATATCTATATCTATATCTATATCTATATCTGTATCATCTATATCTGTATCATCTATATCTGTATCATCTATATCTGTGTCATCTATATCTATATCATCTATATCTATATCTATATCTATATCTATATCTATATCTATATCTATATCTATATCTATATCTATATCTATATCTATATCTATATCTATATCTATATCCATATCCATATCCATATCCATATCATCTATATCTATATCTATATATCTATCTATATCAGTGGTTCCCAACCTTCCTGATGCCGTGACCCCTGAATACAGCTCCCCATGCTGTGGGGACCCCCAACCATAACATTATTCTCGTGGCTGCGTCATCACTGTCATGTGGCTGCTGTTACGAATCGTCATGGAAACATCTGATCTGCAGGATGGATTTTCATGGTGACACATGGAACATCATGAAAGCACAGCGATCAATCACAAAAACAATATGTGATTATAGGTGTGTTTTCGGACGGTCTTGGGCGACCCCTGGGAAAGGGTCGTTCGACCCCCAAAGGGGCCGCGACCCACAGGTTGAGAACCGCTGCTGTTGGTCATGGAGGTGGCAGAGTTCCGAACATAGCTGCCTGCTTCTCTCTCTCTCTCTCTCTCAATCCTCACCTGAGGATATTTTTCCATTGATTTTTTTAGAGAGACCGGAAGAGAGAGGGAAAGACAGAGAGAAACATCGATGGGTTGCCTCCTGCACGCACCCCGACCAGGGCCTGGGCCAGGGTGGATCTGCAACCGAGGTCCATGCCCTTGACAGGAATCGAACCCGGGACCCTTCAGTCCGCAGGCCGACGCTATAGACACTCAAGCAAACTGAGCAGAACTCTTCAAAAATTTAAATTAATTTCAGAGAGGAAGGGAGAGGGAGAGAGAGAGAGAAACATCCATGATGAGAGAGAATCATGGATCTGCTGCCTCCTGCACGCCCCCTACTGGGCATCGAGCCCACAACCCGGGCCTGTGCCCTTGACCGGGATTCGAACCCGTGACCTCCTGGTTCATAGGTTGACGCTCAACCACTGACCCACACTGGCCAGGTAGAATGTGCCTTTTTTAAAAATTTTTGTTTTTTTAACATTTTTACCAGAACAACACAGTCACGGTGAACAGGGCAGGGCTAATAATTTTTAGAATTATAGCTGGACCCCAATTTTCTATTCCTGCCCCTGTCAGCCTGTCCAGTTGTGGGCGGTTGATTCGAACCACTCGCCACCGATTGCCAATCAGGACAGTCCATGCAATTCCAGGGACATCTCAGGACAATGCCTAAGGGCTTGCAACCCTGGCCCCCATCTGCCTCTGTGCCCTGCAATTGACCGATACACGCACGTATTCACTCATTCATTCATTCACCCACTCATTGAACCATGCACTCATTCATTCACTCATTCATTCATTCACCCACTCATTGACTCATGCACGCATGTATTCGTATATTCATTCATTCACACACTCATTGGCCCATGCACACATGTATTCACACATTCATTCATTCATTCACCCACTCATTGGCCCATGCACACATGTATTCACGCATTCATTTATTGACACACCCATTGGCCCATGCACACATACATTCACTCATTCATTCATTCACCCACTCATTGGCCCATGCACACATGTATTCACGCATTCATTCATTCACACACTCATTGAACCATGCACACATTCACTCATCCATTCACCCACCCTTGACCCATGCACTCATGCGTCCACTCATTCATTTATTCATTCACACATTCATTCATTGACTCATGCATGCATTCACTCATTCACTCATCCATCAGGCATCTATCTGCCTACTATCTGTTTCATGCATGCATGCATCTCCTCATTCATTCATTCACCAACTCATTCCCTCCTGCACACATGCATCTCCTCATTCATTCATTCACCAACTCATTCCCTCCTGCACACATGCATTCACTCATTCATTCATTCATTCACCAACTCACTGACGCACACACACATGCATCCACTCATTCGTTTATTCATCCCCTCATTCACTCCTGCTGTTTTTGTTTGTCTTAATCTTTTGAGTCAGAGAGGAAAAGAGAGGGAGAGAGAGAGAGAGTAACATCCCTGATGAGAGAGAATCATGGATCGGCTGCCTCCTGCACGCCCCCTACTGGCGATCAAGGCCACAACCCGGGCCTGTGCCCCGAGCAGGAATAGAACCCTGACCACCTGGTTCACAGGCCCACTCTCAACCACTGAGCCTCTCCAGCCCCGCCCATCTGTTCACGCATTTATTCACTCAGCTACTCCTGCACCCGTGCACGCATGCATAGCTTGATGGCTCTTTGCTTCACTCACCCTGCCTCCAACAAATTCGGTGGATCTCTTCAAGGTCCCAGGCGGGGAGGTTTCCAGCGAGGCCTCCACGCAGACAGTGCGCCGCCGGCTGGCCTGGCGCCCAGAGCCCCGAGGCCATTGCAAACATTTGCTTTAGGGCTGGCTGGTTAAAGGTTAAATGTCCCAACTTAGAAACCAACCGGCGACTCCAGGATCCAGCGCCTCAGGGAGGGGACCTCGAGGGGGCAGGGGCTGGGCTTGGAATGTCAGGCATCGCAGGGCCCCTTCTGCGGGGGGGTTGGCGGGGTGGGGGGGGGGGCCTCCCCGGCAGGCAGCAGGCGGCGCGCGCCGGCTGGGGCGCAATGGGCGCGGGCTGCGAGGCTTGCAGACCCCCTGCGCGCGCGCGAGTCTGTTTGGGGCGGGACTGGGCTGGCTGAGAGCGGCCAATCGCGGGGCCCTGGACACAGGGCCTCCCTCCCAGGGCCAGCGGAGCCAGAGGCAGCCTGAACGCAGGCGAGACTCTGGGGGAGGGACACACGGATCCGGGAGACCCGGGCTACCCGAGAGTGCGCGCGCGCGCGCACGGGAGGTGCTGGAGACCCAGGGGTGCCGGGGGCGTGGAAACTTGTTGCGCGCGGTTGGAGACCCGGGGAGGAGGGCGCAGGGGCTGCCCGCGTGCAGAGGAGGGGCGAGGGGAGTGGGTGGAGAGGCGCAGAGGTGGATCTAAGTTCAAAGAGGTAACCGGGCCGCGAGGGGCGGGGGCGGAGAGACGGCGCTGGGCCGGGTTGGGGGGCCGAGGCCACCTGGAGCGAGCCGAAGGGGGCGGGGCGCAGCGGGAGGCAGAGGAAGGGCAGGGCGGGGACGCAGATGACGCGCAGGGGGACAGGGGGTGAGGGGAGCCCGGGCGGAAGACAGAGGCGGCCCCCGACCCCCCGAGCGCAGAGGAGGGGGCGTGGGGCGCAGGTGGCACGGAGCGCGCAGGAGGCAATGGCTTAGAGCTGCAGCCACGGGTGTGTCCCGCAGGCCTGGAGCTCGGCGCGGGTCGCTTGGAGAGGACGCGCGCGCTGGGCCCGGCTGCAGGCCCCACGCTCCACGCAACGCGCCCGGGCGCACGTCTCCACGTGGGTGCCAAGGGCGCACGGGCGCACGGACGGGCGCACGGAGCCTCGCACCATGCCGGGTGAGTGGAGAAGCGAAAGTTTTTCCTTCCTTCCTTCTTCCTTCCTTTCTTCCTTCTTCCTTCCTTCCTTCCTTCCTTCCTTCCTTCCTTCCTTCCTTCCTTCCTTCCTTCCTTCCTTCCTTCCTTCCTCTCTCCATTTTTTGATCTCAGAGAGGGAGAAGGCGATAGAAGCATCACTGGTGACAGAGAATCACGGACCGGCCGCCTCCTGCGCGCCCCCTAGGGGTTGGGGATGGAGCCTGCAACCCGGGCATGTGCCCTTGACCGGGAATCGAACCCGGACCTCCTGGTTCCTAGGTCGACGCTCAACCACTGAGCCACCCCATCTGGGCTTCCGTTGATGTTTTATGGAGAGTTTGGAGGGAAGGGGGAGAGACAGAGAGAGGCAGACGCACACACGGATTGCCACCGACGTCCGTGCCCTTGACCGGATTCGAACCCGGGACCCTTTGGTCCGCCGGCCGCCGCCGCTCTATCCACTGAGCCAAATGGGCGAGCGCATGTTTGCAGCGTTAAGACACCCCCCCAACTTTGGGCCAGACCAGAGCTGATCACTCGCAAGCAACATTCTTTTTTTAAAAAATATATATGTATATTTTTTATTAATTTCAGAGAGGAAGGGAGAGGGAGAGAAAGATCCATGATGAGAGAGAATCAGGGACCGGCCGCCTCCTGCACGCCCCCTATTGGTTGGGGATCGAGCCCGTAACCCGGGCCTGTGCCCTTGACCGGGAATCGAACCCGGGACCCTTCAAGTCTGCAGGTCAACCAGTGCTCTACCCACTGAGCCACACCGGCCAGAGATTTTGTTTTCTTTTTTTAAGCAGGTTGCTTCCCTGGCTGGTGTGGCTCAGTGGTTACAGAGTGGGCCCCAGGCACCGAAGGGTCCCGGGTTCGATTCCCGGTCAAAGGCACAGGCCCGGGTTGCCGGCTCGATGCCCAGTCGGGGGCGTGCGGGAGGCGGCCGGTCCATGATTCTCTCTCATCCTGGATGTCTCTCTCTCTCTCTAACTCTCCCTTGTTCTCTGCAAAAATCAAGAAAAAATATTTAATAAGTAAATAATAAATAAATAAAATAGAAAGCCAGCCGCTCGTCATTAAAAATAATAATTAAAAAAATGAATAAAGAACATCAATGGGAAAAGTATCCTCGGGTGAGGATTCACACAAAAAATAAGTGAAATGAGATGAAATAGGGCCCTGGCCGGTGTGGCGCAGTGGGTAGAGCGGCGGCCTGCGGACTGAAGGGTCCCGGGTTCGAGTCCCGGTCAAGGGCACACCTTCCCGGGTTGTGGGCTGGGTCCCCCCAGTAGGGGGCGTGCAGGAGGCGGCCGGTCCATGGTTCTCTCTCCTGATGGATGTTTCTGTCTCCCTCTCCCTTCCTCTCGGAAATCCATAAAAATATATTTTAAAAAATGAAGATATATTGTAAAAAAAATACATTATATGGAAAGACAAAACACCTGGAACGCCGAAAAGATTGTTTAAACAAATTTAAAAATAACAATAAGAAATAAAAGGAAATAGGGACAGTTGCCACCCAGCTGGTGTGGCTCAGTGGATAGAGCGTCAGCCTGCAGACCGACGGGTTCTGGGTTCGAATCCAGTCAAGGGCACGGACCTGGGTTGCAGGCTCCTCCCCGGGTGGGGCCCTGGTCGGGGCGCCGCAGGAGGCAGCCCATCGATGTGTCTCTCTCTCACATGGATGTTTCTCTCTGTCTCGCCCTCTCTCTTCCGCTCTCCCTAAAAATCAATGGGAAAAATATCCTCGGGTGAGGATTAACAACAAAAATAAAATAAAATAAAATAAAATAAAATAAAATAATAAAATAAAATAAAAGAAATAAATACATAAATAAGAATAATAAAAAAAACAAATAAAAAAAAAATAAAATAAAATAAATAAATAAAATAATAAAATAAAATAAATAAAATAAAATAATAAATAAAATAAATAAAACAAATAAAAATACAATAAAATAAAACAAATAAAAAATAAAATAAAATAAAATAAATAAAATAAAATAATAAAATAAAATAAATAAAATAAAATAATAATAATAATTAAATAATAAATAAAATAAATAATATAAATAATAATAAAATAAAATAAATAATAAAATAAAATAAATAAAAGAATAGAAAAAATAACATAATAAATAAATTATAAAATAAAATACATTTTGCAACAGCGTGGAGGGACCTGGGGAGCATGACGCTGAGAGAAATACGGCCCGTCGGAGAACGGGCAAGCATCGCCAGGGTCTCACTCACGTGTGAATCGAATGAACAGCATAAACCGGTGAACAGAAACATCCAGAAACAGAGAAACACCGATCAGACCGTCCGACCTCGGAGGGGAGGCGGGGGGGGGGGGGGGGGGGGGGGGGGGGAGCCCAAGGACTCGTGTGTGTGCGGACAGGCCCGACCTATGGACACGGACACCAGGGGGTGAGGGCCCGAGAGGGGGTGGGGGGGGGGCAATGAGGCAATAAAGACACATACGTCATATCTTAATCAGTAAAGAAAGAAAAATAATAAAATAATAATACAATACCATGAATGAAATAAAATACAATAAGTAAAATAAAATAATAAAACAAATGAAGTAATAAGTAAAATAAATAAATAATACAATACAATAAAACAGGATAAAATGAATAATAAAATACAATACAATAAACAAAATAAAATAATAAAATAAAATAATAAAATGAATAATAAAATACAATACAATAAATAAAATAAAATAAAAAATAATAAAATGAATAATAAATACAATAAGAATTAGATAAAATACAATAAATAAAATAAAATAATAAAATTAATAAAATAATAAAACACAATAAGAATAATAAGGTAAAATACAATATATAAAATAATAAATAAAATTAATAAATAAAACAATAAAAATAATAACAAAATACAATAAATAAAATAATAATATAATACAATAAAACAAAATGAAATGAATAATAAAATACAATACAATAAATAAAATAAAATGAGAAAATTAATAAAATAATAAAATTAATAAAATACAATAAGAATAATAAGATACAATACAATAAATAAAATAAAATAATAAATTAATAAAATACAATAAGAATAATAAGATACAATACAATAAATAAAATAAAATAATAAAATTAATAAAATACAATAACAATAATAAGATACAATACAATAAATAAAATAAAATAATAAAATTAATAAAATAATAAAATTAATAATAAAACACAATAAGAATAATAAGATAAAAAACAATATATAAAATAATAAATTAAATGAATAAATAGTACAAGAAAAATAATAACATAAAAGACAATAAATAAAATAAAATAGTAAAATAAATAAAATAATAAAATGAATAAAGTAAAATAAAGAATAAAATAAATAAAATAAAATAAATAATAAAATAGAAGGCAATAAAATGCAATCAATAAAACAATGAAATAAAATGCCGCCAGTAAAATAAAATACGATAAATAAATTAACGACATTTTAAAAAATAAAATGCGATCAGTACAATCAGACAGCACATGACACAGACAGTGAAACGGGGCCGGGCAGGTGAGCGCCCCCCCCCCCCCGAGCAGACAGACAGGGGGTGCTGTGTCCCCCCCGGACCCGCTTGGAGCTCCCGCTGCCCCCCCAAACCCCGGCGCCCGGAGAACGGCCGCATCAGCCCCTGGCGCTCGGACCCGCGTCCATCCGCCCAGGGACCCCGGCTGGGTTTTCAGCAAACTTTGCAGGAGACAGACTCGCCCTTGAGGACCGGGGTTGGGGGGCGAGGGGGGCGCTGGTGGGCAGGGGGTGGACCCCACAGACATGCAGCCGCCGCCCTCTTCAGGCTGCGCTGGATGCTGCGAGAATCTATTTTTATTTATTTTATTTAAAAAAAGAAAAAAAAAAAGAAAGAAAAAATAAAAAATAAAGAGATCTGGCCCTGGCCGGTGTGGCCCAGTGGATAGAGCGCCGGCCGTTGGACTCAAAGGTCCCGGGTTCGATTCCCCAGGACCTTTTGTATTAGATAAAATACAATAAATAAATGATATAATACAATAAAACAAAATAAAATGAATAATAAAATACAACAAATAAAATAATAAAATTAATAAAATAATAAAATTGATGAAATACAATAAGAATAATAACATAAAATACAATAGATACAAAAAATAATAAAATTAAATAAAATAATAAAATTAAATAAAATAATAAAATTAATAAAACACAATAAGAATAAGATAAAATACAATAAATTGTATTTATTGGGGGGCATGCAGGAGGCGGCCGATCCGTGAGTCCCTCTCATCAGGGATGTCTCTCTCTCTCCCTTCCTCTGGGACATCAAGAAAAATATATTAAAAAAAAATAAAAAATATAAATACATCTTTATTTGATTTCAGAAAGCGAGGGGGTGGGGGAGAGAGACGCACGCTTGATGGGAGAGAATCGTGGGCAAGCCTTGCAGGGCGGTGTTGGTTCCCCCTCTAAATCATTTCTGCGTTTCAGTGAGTGTATCCTTCATGTCTGACTATTTTTTTTTTAAGGAAAACAGCGACCCAATAACTCCCTTCCTTTCTTACTTTCAAAATAGGTTTTTATTGATTTCAGAGGGGAAGGGAGAGAGAGAGAAACATCAATAGGTAGGTAGATGGGTAGGTAGGCATTCGGACGATGGATGATCGCTGGCTAGATAGATCAGTGATAACTACAGGGATAGGTAGGTAGGTAGGTAGAGAGATAGTTTATAGATGGCTGAATAGGTGAAAAAATAGAGATATATGAGTTCTGATAAACAGATAACAGATTGATGGATACATAGATGACAGGGAGGTAGGTGGATGCATGGAGAGATAGAGAGAGATGATAGCTAGATAGATAAATGATAGATAATAGATAGATGGTTGAATGGGTAAATAATCGGGACATGCGACTATGAATAAATGGATGGATAACAAATTGATAGATACACAGATGATAGATATGTAGGTAGGGAGAGAGATGGGTGGATGGATAGATAAATACATTGATGATAGCTAGGTACATAGGTAGGTAGGTAGGTAGAATGGGTAGATAGATATGACAGGTAAATGGTGAATAGATGATGATGATGATTGATAGATGATAAATAGATGGATAGATAGGTAGATAGATGGTAGATGGATACATAGATGATAGGAAGGTAGATATGTAGGTAGGTAGGTAGGTAGGTAGGTAGGTAGGTAGGTAGATAGAATGGATACATAGATAATAGATGAATGAATAAATGAAGATAGATAGATCCTAGATAGATAGATGGATAGTTAGAGATGATGGATGGATAGATAGATGATGGATTGATAGATATAGATGACAGATCAGATGTGGATAGATAGATGATAAATAGATGGATAGGTAGATAGATGGTAGATTGATATATAGATGATAGGAAGGTACATATGTTCATATGTACATAGGTAGGTAGGTAGGTAGATAGATAGAATGGATACATAGATAATAGATAGATAAATGAATAAATGAAGATAGATAGATCCTAGATAGATAGATGGATAGTTAGAGATGATGGATGGCTAGATAGAGGATGGATTGATATATATAGATAACAGATCAGACATGGATAAATAGATAGATGATAAATAGATGGATAGGTAGATAGATGGTAGGTTGATACATAGATGATAGGTAGGTACATTTGTAGATAGGTAGGTAGGTAGATAGAATAGATACATAGATAATAGATAAATGAATAAATGAAGATGATAGGTAGATAGATAGATAGATAGATTGATTGATTGATAGATAGATAGTTATAGATGATGGATGGCAGACGGACAGACGACAGAGGGGAGTGTGAGGGGCGGTGGATTTAAGAGCTCAAGGCTGGTACGCAAAGATGTCTGTCTGTCATCTGTCCGTCTGTCTATCTACTTGTCTATCTACCTGTCTACAATCTATTATCTATCTATCGATATCTATCATCCACCTATGTATCTACCAATCCATCATCTATCTATCCACCCATCATCTATATCTATCTATCTCTCTATCTATCTATCTATCTATCTATCTATCTATCTATCTATCTATCTATCTATTATCTATCTATCTATCTATCTATATCTCTATCTCTATCTAATCTATCATCTATCTATCTATCTATCATATCTATCTATCTATCTACTATCAATCTATCTATCTATCTATCTTACTATCTATTCTATCTATCTATCTATCTATCTATCTATCTATCTATCTATCTACTCTATTATCTATCATCTGTCATCTATCTATCTATCTATCTATCTATCTAATCTATCTATCTATCATCTATCTATCATTTATCTCTATCTATCTATCTATCTATCTATCTATCTATCTATCTATCTATCATCTATCTATCATTTATCATCTATCTATCTATCTATCTATCTATTATCTATCATCTGTCATCTATCATCTATCTATCTATCTATCTATCTATCATCTATCTATCTATCTATCTATCTATCTATCTATCTATCTATCTATCTTCTATATCTATCTATCTATCTATCTATCTATCTATCTATCTATCTATCATCTATCTATCTATCTATCTATCTATCTATCTATTATCTATCATCTGTCATCTATCATCTATCTATCTATCTATCTATCTATCTATCTATCATCTATCTATCTATCTATCTATCTATCTATCTATCTATCTATCTAACATGATGAGAGAGAACCATGGATCGGCCGCCTCCTGCACGCCCCCGACTGGGGATCAAGCCCACAACCCGGGCACGTGCCCTTGGCCAGAATCCAACCCGGGACCCTTCAGTCCGCAGGCCGACGCTCTATCCACTGAGCCACACCGGCCGGGCCCCGGTGAACATTTTCGAATACTGAGCAGTGACTCTACGTGAGACGCTTAAGGGAGGAAAAGGTGTGACCCTGAGCCCCACCGTATCTATGGGAGCCACCAGGCGTGTGACAGGCGTGTGACAGGCGTGTGACAGGCGTCTTTGTTCGCACCCACAGTGTCTGACCAGGCCTTCGTGACACTGGCCACCAATGACACCTACTGCCAAGGAGCCCTGGTCCTGGGCCAGTCGCTGAGGAACCAGAGGGCCACCAGGCAGCTGGTGGTGTTGATCACTCCCCAGGTGTCCAGGCTGCTCAGGTAAGACCTGTGCCCACCTGGCTCCCCCTTGGGTAGAAGCAACGTCACCTGCATCATGGGGGTGGGGGTCCCCCTGAAATTGTGTTGGTCCTAGAGCCCTGGCCATCATGGAATCGATGGGTAGATAATGGATGGGTGGACGGATGGATGGATGGATGGATGGATAGATAGGTAGATGATAGGTAGGTAGATGATAGATATATAGATGATAGATATATAGATAGATATAAAGAGATAGATGATAGATAGATAGAATAGATGAGACATAGGTAGAAAGATAGATACAGAGATTCACAGATACATAAATAGATGGTAGATGATAGATAAATAGATAGATAGATAGATAGATAGATAGATAAAATAGATGATACATAGGTAGAAAAATTCATAGATACACAGGTACATAAATAGATTAGATAGATAGATAGATAGATAGATAGATAGATAGATAGATAGATAGATAGATAGGATGGATGATGGATGTGTGGGTGTATGGATGGTTAGATGGATGCATGGACGGATGGATGTATGGATGGATACATAGGTAAATATAGATACATAGACATAGATGATTAATAGCTAAATATAGAGATGATAGATATAGATGATAGATAGAATAGATGATGGATGGGTAGATGAAGAGATGGATGGTAGAGATAGATGATAGATAGATAGATAGATAGATAGATAGATAGATAGATAGATAGATGATAGGCATTATGGATAAGTGAATGGATAGATGAGTTGTGTGGGTGGGTGGATAGATGATAGATAGATAGATAGATAGATAGATAGATAGATAGATGGTAGATAGATAGATAGATGATAGACAGACAGATAGATAGATAGATAGATGATAGATAGATAGATAGATAGATAGATAGATAGATGATAGATAGATAGATTAGATGATAGATAGATAGATAGATAGATAGATAGATAGATAGATAGATAGATATAGATGATATATAGGGTGGATGATGGGTGTATGCATGGTTAGATGGATGCATGGACAGATGGACGGATGGATGGATGGATGGATGGATGGATACATAGATAAATATAGAGACATAGACATAGATGATTAATAGCTAAATATAGAGATGATAGATTTGATAGATAGATAGATAGATAGATAGATAGATAGATGAGAGAATGGATGGATGGATAGATGATAGATATATATATATAGATAGGTAGATAAGTAGAAAGAATTGATGGATATATAGAAGATAGATACAGATAGGATGGATAGATAGACAAATAAATAGATGCTGTAGTTGGATGATGGATGATGGGTGATGGATAGATAGATGATGATTGATAGATGATGGAGACAATAGCTCCCTGTATCTCTAGCTCGTCCTCAGGTTTCTGTCATCACAAGATAGTCTACGCGATGCCAAAATCGGATTTAAGCAAAAATAAATAAACACTTTGTGAGAGAGGCAGATTTCATGTTGATAAAGGTAGGGGCCCTCAAACGTGTACGCAACCAACAATATGGGTTCTGAATACAGAAAGCAAAAAAAAAAAAAAAAAAAATATGGCAGCGAACATCAGCTGGTTGCTACCGGCTCACCGCCACATATTTTGCCAAGAGAGGGACTTCCTTAAAGCTACCCTGGATCCGTCTCTCTTAAGACAGTTCTGGCCCTAGCTGGTGTGGCTCAGTGGGTAGAGCATCAGCCTGCCGACCAAAGGGTCCAGGGTTCGATTCCCGGTCAAGGCCACGTACCTCGGTTGCAGGCTCCTCCCCAGCCAGGGCCCTGGTCCCGGTTCGTGCAGGAGGCAACCAATCAATGTGTCTCTCTCATATCAATATTTCTCCCTGTCTGTCCCTCTCCCTGGCTTCCAATCTCTCTAGAAATCCATGGAAACATGCCCTCAGGTGAGGATTAACAAAAAGGAAGAAGGATTCATGTTTCCTGTTTCTGAGCAGGGATGGGGATGTATACTGTTCCATGATTCTCTACATCTTATGTTTTTTTTTTAAAAAAAAAGTATATTGATTTCAGAGAGGAAGGGAAAGGGAGAGAGAGAGAAACAGCCATGAAGAGAGAGAATCATGGACCGGCCGCCTCCTGCACGCCCCCGACTGGTTGGGGATGGAGCCCACAACCCGGGCCTGTGCCCTGACCGGGAATCGAACCCGTGACCTCCTGGCTCCTAGATCCACACGCAACCACCGGGCCACGCGAGCCGGGTGTCTCCGGGTTTCTTGGCAAACGTGTCTTCCAGGGCTATTCTCTCGAGGGTATTTGACGAGGTCGTCGAGGTCAATCTGATGGACAGCGCCGACCACGTCCACCTGGCCTTCCTGAAGAGGCCCGAGCTCGGCGTCACCCTCACCAAACTTCACTGCTGGACGCTCACCCGTTACAGCAAGTGTGTGTTTCTGGACGCCGACACCCTGGTGAGCACCCTTGGGAGTGTGGGGCCGAGACGGTGCCCGTGGTGAGAAACCCATCGGACACCACGCCTCCTGCCCCCTCTTCAGAAGGCTGCTACCTCGGGGTGGGGTTCCCGTCAGGCAACATGGAACTGTTGTGTGTATTTTATTTTATTATTTACTGGAGGCCCGGTGCACGAAATTTGTGCACGAGTGTGGTCCCTAGTGGCTGCCGGCCACCGGCCGGGGCCTTGCTTTGTTTCACGCCACCCCCTGGTGGTCAGCGCACGTCATAGCGCGTGATCGATCTCCTGGTCAATCGAACTCCCGCGGGGACATTTGCATATTAGGCTTTTATATATAAAGACGAGAGGCCCGGTGCACGAAATTCGTGCATGGGTAGAGTCCCTAGGGCTGACCGGCGATCAGGGCCGATTGGGGCCTTCCGGCTGCTGGCCCCGGGACCTCCCTTCTCAGGTAGTCAGCACACATCATAGCGAGCGGTCGAATGCCTGGTCTCCTGGTGGAACTCCCGTGGGGACAGTTTGCATATTAGGCTTTTATATATATAGTTTTTATTAATTTTTATTTTTAAGTCTTTTTATTAATATATTTTATTGATTTTTTTACAGAGAGGAAGGGAGAGGGATAGAGAGTTAGAAACATCGATGAGAGAGAAACATCGATCAGCTGCCTCCTGCACACCCCCTACTGGGGATGTGCCCACAACTAAGGTACATGCCCTTGACCGGAATCGAACCCGTGACCCTTCAGTCCGCAGACCGACGCTCTATCCACTGAGCCACACCGGTCAGGGCTAATTTTTATTTTTAAAAATTATTGTTGTATGTTTTTTAATCCTCGCCTGTGGTTATTTTTTTTATTGATTTTTAGGGAGAGTGGAAGAGAGAGGGAAACACAGAGAGAGAAACATCGATGGATTGCCTCCTGCACGCCCCCTACTGGGGATCGAGCCCGCAACCCGGGCCTGTGCCCTTGACCGGGAATCGAACCTGCAACCTTCTGGTTCCTAGGTCAACGCTCAACCACTGAGCCACACCGGCCAGCACTTGATTGGCTATTTTTTTTTTTTGGCGTCTGTAGTGAGAGCAACCATCCTGGGGCTCAGACCTCCTCTGACGGACGGTTTGCAAGGAGCCAACCCTGTCCGGCCCCTCCTCAAGCCCCTCCCTCCTTTCTCACCTGCGAAACCGGAAGCCACAGGGGGTGGGGCGTGGCTACAGGGGTCCCCTGCTCTGATTGACAGGTGCTGTGCAACATCGATGAGCTGTTTGACAGGAGTGAGTTCTCGGCCGCCCCCGACCCGGGCTGGCCCGACTGCTTCAACAGCGGGGTGTTCGTCTTCCGGCCGTCCCTGCGGACACACCGCCTCTTGCTGCAGCATGCCGCGGACCACGGCAGCTACGACGGTGCGTGAGGGACAGCTGGGAGTTTGGGGGACCCAGACCCCCCTCCTCTGCCTGGGAACGAATGAAAATTTCAACACAAAATACCCTAGCTGGTGTGGCTCAGTGGATAGAGCTATCAGCCTAAAGACTGAAGGGTCCCGGGTTCGATTCCTGGGTAATGGGCTCGAACCCCAGTAGGGGGCGTGCAGAAGGCAGCCGATCCCTAATTCTCTCTCCTCATGGATGTCTCTCTCTCTCTCTCTCTCTCATCCTTCCTCCCTCTCTGAAATCAATTAAATAATATCTATATGTATAAAAGGCTAAGGGGCCTACTGTCCGTCTGTCCAACCGGCCGACTGACCTGGCAATCCTATAGCATAAAAGGCTACTATGCAAATTGTCCCCTCGACTGCGATTTCGACCGGGAGTTCGACCAAGAGGCGAGGCCGGCTGGCCAACCTCGCGTGGCCCCTCCCCCTGGCCGGCCCCGCCCCCGATCGGCCCCAATCTTGGCAGGCCAGCCGGACCCCACCCGTGCACGAATTCGTCTATAACCTGAGCCTGCCACCCGGGCACGTGCCCTTGACCGGGAATCGAACCCGGGACCCTTCAGTCCGCAGACTGACGCTCTATCCACTGAGCCACACCGGCCAGGGCTGTTGCTGGTTATTAATAAAATAGGAAGGAGGTGGATGTATGTCGCACGTTGAGAGAACAGTCGTGTTTGAGCAGGCAGAGAGGAGACGCGTGCTCAGTGACCTTGGATGACCTTCGGACGCCCTCGTTAACATGACCGTCTCCGTTCACCGTTTAGGGGCCGATCAGGGCTTGCTGAACAGTTTCTTCAGCAGCTGGCCGACGGCCGACATTCAGAAGCACTTGCCCTTCGTCTACAACCTGAGCAGCAGCCCCGCGTACACCTACAGCCCGGCCTTCAGACAGTAAGTGCTCGCACGGGCCCAGACCCGGGTCTGACTCTGTGGTATAACCACCTGGCATCAGGTTTTGAAATTTTATTTATTTTATTTTTTCATTGATTTCAGAGAGAGGAAGGGAGGGAGAGAGAGAGAGAGAGAGAGAGACATCACGGATGAGAGAGACTCATGGATCGGCTGCCTCTTGCAAACCCGGGCACGTGCCCTTGACCGGACTCGAACCCGGGACCCTTCAGTCCGCCGGGCGACCCTCTATCCGCTGAACCAAACCGGCCGGGGGAGCTTTTGAGTTTTTGAAACGTGTTTTTGTTGAACTTCGGAGACAGGAAGGAGAGAGAGAGAGAAACAGAAATAATGAGAGAGGATCATGGACCGACGGGCTCCCTTCCTACTGGAGGTCGAACATGAGTGACAGCAGGAAGCTAGGTGTCCGTCCATAGGCACGCGGACAGAGACGCCGTGGTACATGTATGTGCCGTGCCCGCACAGCCGTGAGCGGGAGGAGGGGCGGCGAGGAATTAAAGAAAAGACAGGCAAGGAGAATACAGCTGGGGCTTGGTGGACCGCCTGTGCCTGGAGGAGGCCACAGAAAAGACGGATCCAGCCAGCAAGCTGAGCCTTTATCTTATAGTCAGAGGAAAACAAAGTGGTGGCCAACGTAGTTACAATGTTCTTGTGCGTTTCGCCTGTTTAGGCAGCACTCGCTGCACCTCCCACAGCCCATTCGCTACCCAGGAAGGATCTAGGGCAGCCGTTCTCAAACTGGGGGTCGAACGAACCCTTTCACAGGTGCCGGGGTCCTGCCCCAGCAGGTCCAGGGGTCCCCAAAGGTGTGGACGGAGTCGGCGAAGAAGGAATGACACAGAGACAGCGTTCAGTTGATCAGCAGCCTAGCCAGGATCTCCAGCCAAGTTCTGGTCTGGATCTCCAGCGAAGTTCTGGTTAGGATCTCCAGCCAGGTTCTGTGTCCATGTTCTCTTGCTAGGTTCTCCAGCCAGGTTCTGTCCAGGTTCTCCAGCCAGGTTCAGTCACCAGGTTCTAGTCAGGTTCTCGTGCCAATTTCTGTAGTCAGGTTCAGTCCAGGATCTTTTGCCATGTTCTCTCCAGCGAAGTTCTTCTGTCTCTAGGTTCTGTGTAGGTTCTATGTCTAGGTTCTGTCCTGTTCTCTTGTTACATCTGTATTTATACCAGTTGATTCCAATCCTATCAATCTCTATTCCAAAGGTTAGGGCGTTTCTTATCTCCATTCCAGGGAGTAAAGATTATGTAGCTTAAGCATGATTGTTTGTAGTTAAAGTGATTAATTACCTGCCTGGCACTTAGTTAAGGGGTTTTATTCCCTCCCTAACTTCGGGGGAAAATCCCTACCTGGGCAAACAACCTTTCTCAGAGAGGAGACCTTGGTTAAAACACATAGTGCCAAGAAGGTGAGCAAACATATTAAGAACAGGATGCCATATATGCCAGGTCCCTTGAAACAGCAAGCATGGACCGGCTCCCGGCACACGGGGGTCGCCTAAGACCATCGGAAAAGACATCGATCATCACATACTGTTTTTGGGATGAATCACTACGCTTTCACGATGTTCAATTTGTACCAATGAGATTGGGGGTCGCCACAACACGAGGAACCGCATGAAAGGGTCGCGGCGTTAGGAAGGCTGAGAACCGCTGATCCCGGGGGTGGCCGTAAGGTTAAACGTAATGAAGCTGAAGTGGGCTCAGCCCTCCAAGCTGGGACGTGTGTGTGGCCCTGCCACAGGTCAGTTACGTGAGGCTGAACTCTAGAGCCGGTCCGTACACAGGTCCACGGTGGAATATTACTAAGCCATGAAAAAGGACTAGAGCTTACCATTGGCAACAGCGTGCATGGACCTAGAGGGTGAGATAAGTCAGACAGAGAAAGGCAAATACCAGGTGATCTCACGCGCATGTGGAATCTCAAAATAAAATAAATGAGCAAATAGACACAGATCACAAGCTGACGGTTGCCCGAGGGGAGACGCAGGAGGAAATGGAACACAAAAGCAAACCAAACTTCAAAGTCACCGACCACAGGAAAATCAAGGCAATAAAAAATGTTTCCCAGGGTTGGGTGTGGTGGTAATTGAGAAAATATAAAAGGACTGAGAAGGGGAAATCGTAATCTTGTAAAAGAAGCTTTTTTTAAATTTTTGTCTGTTTGTTTGTAGTTTGCATATGTATCATAAAAGCTATTTTTTTTTTGTCCCTGTTGTTGCTGTTATTTTAAAAAAATGGATTTCAGAGAGAGGAAGGGAGAGGGAGAGAGAGAGAGAAACATCCATGATGAGAGAGCATCAGGGATCGGCTGCCTCCTGCACGCCCCCCACTGGGGATCCAGCCCGCAACCCGGGCACGTGCCCTTGACCGGGAATCGAACCCGTGACCTCCTGGTTCCTAGGTGGACGCTGAACCACTGAGCCACGCCGGCCGGGCTGTCGGTTGTGTTTTGAACGTGTCCGTCCACTCCCCAGTGGAAATCTCCTGCGCGTTTCCTTCTCAGGTTCGGTTCGAGGGCGAAGGTGGTCCACTTTCTGGGCCCCCAGAAGCCGTGGAGCTACAAGTACAACCCGCAGACGGGCTCGGTGTGGGAGGAGGACCCTGGGACGGCCCCCCAGCACCAGCTGAGCTTCCTGAACCTGTGGTGGAACATCTACCACCACAGCGTCCTGCCTCTGTACGAACGCATCCCGGACGAGCCACGGCAGGCGTCGCCCGGACACACAGTAAGTGGGGGGATCCCCTCGGAACACAGGGGTTGAGACTCAAGTCAATCCTGCCGACCTGGCTCAGTGGTTGAGCATCGACCTAGGAACCAGGAGGTCCCGGGTTCGATTCCCGGTCAAGGGCACAGGCCCGGGTTGCGGGCTCGATCCCCATAAGGGGGCGTGCAGGAGGCGGACGGTCCGTGATTCTCTCTCATCACGGATGTGTGTGTCTCTCTCTCTCCCTCTCCCTTTTTGAAATCAATAAAAATGTACCAAAAACAAATATATGAACACACAATTATGTGATCAGACCTAACAGCTATGTATATAAAAGCCTAAGCAATTCTTACGACCGAACGGCGAGAACGTCCGGAACGACCGGTCGACCGGTTGCTATGACTCGCACTGACCACCAGGGGGCAGAGGCTCAATGCAGGAGCTGCTCCCTGGTGGTCAGTGCGCTCCCACAGCCAACGTCCGACACTGCTTTTTAAAAAATATTTTATTGATATTTTTACACAGAGGAAGGGAGAGAGAGATAGAGAGTCAGAAACATCGATGAGAGAGAAGCATCGATCAGCTGCCTCCTGCACGCCCCCCACTGGGGATGTGCCCGCAACCCAGGTCCATGCCCTTGGCCGGAATCGAACCCGGGACCCTTCAGTCCGCAGGCCGACGCTCTATCCACTGAGCCACACCAGCTAGGGCCCCACACTCTATGTTTTTTCTCCAGCTGGCAGGCCCCGATCGGCCTGGCCCTGATCAGTCCTGATCGCCAGCCAGGCCTAGGGACCCCACCCGTGCAGGAATTCGTGCACCCGCCTCTAGTATTGAATAAATACCGATCGATAGTCGAGTTGGGGAGCCGTGCCCACACAGAGAACGGGATGGGTCTTAGGGCTCTGAGGTCAGTCCGAGAGTTGAAAAGTCGTGAGGGAACCCTGATCATTGTGTCTGTCCATGTTTCTGTGTGCAGAATTCTCTCTCGCGCGTTGAGGTGCCGTGTGCGAATTCAGCACCTTGTGCAGAGGGGCCGTGTGCGAATTCAGCACCTTGTTCAGAGGGGCCGTGTGCGAATTCAGCGGCCACGGCTCCTGGGGAACCTTCGGAGACGCCCACGGTAGTGAATGAGACCCCACTTTCGTCTGAGGCAGCCCCTTCAGGAGACGTAAGTACCAGCACCCCACACAGAAAGGTGAGATGGGAAGTCAGGCATGGGGCCCGGCCAGTGTGGCTCAGTGGTTGAGCACTGACCTAGGAACCAGGAGGTCCCGGGTTCGATTCCCGCTCAAGGGCACAGGCCCGGGTTGCGGGCTCCATCCCCAACCAGTAGGGGGCGTGCAGGAGGCGGCCGATCCGTGATTCTCTGTCATTGTGGATGTTTCTATCTCTCTTTTCTCCCTTCCTCTCTGAAATCAATAAAAATATATTTTTTAAAAAATAACTAATTACAACGGCCAACCCAGACCCGCCAGGCTTGCAGAGGGAAGAGGAAGAGGGGTAGAAAATGAGCTTTTCTGCTCGTTTTTCCGTCCTCCTGGCATTCATTCAGGGGGCTCTCCCGTCTGAGCCTGCATCTGGCCCAGGAATGTCTGGGCTGAGTTAAATATAGGGCGTGAGCCGCTCCAGGAATTCCGGGAATCTGCCCTTAAGCTCTGAGGGTATGTAGAGAGCTGCTCTCTCTCTGCAACCAGTGAGCCAGGCTTGTAACAAGATTTTTTAAAAAAATCATCCAAAAAACACTCTTTAAATAATAATAAAAAAATTAAAAATTAAGAAATAAAAAATTAAAAAATTAAAAATAATAAATAAAAATAAAAAAATTAAAAATAATAATAAATAAAAATTAAAAATTAAAAATAATAATAAATAAAATTTAAAAAATTAAAAATTAAAAATAAAAATAAGACATAAAATTTAAAAAATAATAAATAAAAAATAATAAATGCAATAATACATAATAATTTAAAAAATAAAAAATGAAAAATAATAAAAATAAAAGTAAATAAAATTTAAAAAATAAAAAATGATAAATAATAAATAAAAATGGAAAAAAATAAAAAATAAAAAATAATAAAAATAATAGTAAATAAAATTTAAAATAAAAATAAAATATAATAATAAATAAAAAATAAAAAAATAAAAAAATAAAAATAAAAATAATAGTAAATAAAATTAAAAATAAAAAATAAAAAATAATAATAAATAAAAATTAAAAAATTAAAAAAATAAAAATAAAAATAATAGTAAATAAAATTAAAATAAAAAATAATAATAAATAAAAATTAAAAAATTAAAAAAATAAAAATAATAGTAAATAAAATTAAAATAAAAAATAAAAAATAATTATAAATAAAAATTAAAAAATTAAAAGAATAAAAAATAATAAAAATAATAGTAAATTAAAAAATTTTAAAGAACCAAAAAAACCCCCACAAAAGGCAAGTCCGAGCCGGGTCGGTAAAAGTGAGGAGGCTGGGAGGCTTTTAACAGGATCCGCCATGTATTTCATTATTTCAACTCCAAGTCCTCGGGGGATCAGTTTTGTGCTGTCACTGCCCCCTGCTGGCCATTTCTAGAATTTTTCAACTCTGGGTTTTTCCCCCCCTCCCTTCCCCTCCCCTCTCTTCCCCTCCCCTCCCCCCAACTTAATTTTAAAAAAAATGTTTTTTATGGCAGTAGAGCAGCGGTTCTCAACCTGTGGGTCGCGACCCCTTTGGGGGTCGAACGGCCCTTTCCCAGGGGTCGCCTAAGTCCCTCGGAAAACACACCTATAATCACATATTGTTTTTGTGATGAATCGCGACGCTTCCATGAGGTTCCATGGGTCGCCATGACATTGGGGGGTCCCCACCGCGGGAGGAGCTGTATTAAGGGGTCGCGGCGTGAGGAAGGTTGAGAACCGCGGCAGGAGACGGAGGGGAATGTTTATGGGGTGTTTTGCTTGTTTGTTTGTTTAAAATACATTTTATTGATTTTTTTACAGAGAAGAAGGGAGAGGGATAGAGAGTTAGAAACATCAATAATGAGAGAGAATCACGGATCGGCCGCCTCCTGCACGCCCCCCACTGGGGGATCGAGCCCACAACCCGGGGCCTGTGCCCTTGGCTGGAATCGAACCCAGGACCCTGCAGTCCACAGGCCGACGTTCTATCCACTGGGCCACACCAGCCAGGGCTTAAACATATTTTTATTGATTTCAGAGAGAAGAAGGGAGAGGGAGAGAGAGAGAATCATGGATCGGCCGCCTCCTGCACGCCCCCTACTGGGGACCCAAGGATATTTTCCCATTCATTTTTATTTATTTAATTTTTAAAGAATATATTTTTATTGGTTTCAGAGGGGAAGGGAGAGAAAGAGACACATCCATGATGAGGGAGAATCATGGATCGGCCGCCTCCTGCACGCCCCCTATTGGGGATCGAGCCCTAAACCCGGGCACGTGCCCTTGACCAGGGATGTTTTTCTCTCTCTCTCTCTCTCTCCTCCCTTTGTCTCTGAAATCAATAAAAAATATATCTATCTATATCTATATCTATATCTATATCTATATCTATATCTATATCTATATCTATATCTATATCATCTATATCTATATTTATATCTATATCATCTATATCTATATCTATATATCTATATCTATATCTATATCTATCTCTATATCTATATCTATATCTATATCTATATCATCTATATCTATATCTATATCTATATCTATATCTATATCATCTATATCTATATCTATATCTATATCTATATCTATATCTATATCTATATCTATATCATCTATATCTATATCTATATCTATATCTATATCTATATCTATATCTATATCTATATCATCTATATCTATATCTATATCTATATCTATATCTATATCTATATCTATATCTATATCTATATCTATATCATCTATATCTATATCTATATCTATATCTATATCTATATCATCTATATCTATATCTATATCATGTATATCTATATCTATATCTATATCTATATCTATATCTATATCTATATCTATATCTATATCTATATCTATATATATTTTTCAAAAGAGTTAGTCATGGCCCCAAGTAGATACAAGGACGTTAAGACATGGTGTTGGGTGCGAGCCCCAGACAAGGATGTAGGCGGAGATGCTGGTGATCATAACACTCTCCCCCTCATTCACCCCCTTTCCATCCTGGCGGCAGAGAAAAATAGACGATATACGCCACGTTTTCCGTTGAGCTGTGTTCATTTGCATGAAAATCTGTGCTAATCGCCTTTTGTTATTTATTTTATTTTATTTTATTTTTTTATTACAGACGACAGGTTGCCCTGAAATCGAGACTCCGGCTGGACTGACGCCTGAGCCAAATCCACCACCTCTTCCCCCGTTGGCCGGAGTCGCAGAGCCCGGAATCGCCTCCCTGCAGATCATTGAAACAGTTAAGCCCAGCCGTCTCGGTCACGGGTCCTAGTTCTGTGGGCGTGCCTGTCCGTCGACGGCCAAAAAAATGCCCTGTTTTACGTCCATGGCTTTTCTTTAAATATAAACTAGAGGCTTCGGTGCACGGATTCGTGCACAGGTGGGGTCCCTCGGCCTGGCCTGCGGGGATCGGGCCGAAACCGGCTCTCGGACATCCCCCGAGGGGTCCCGGATGGCGAGAGGGCGGTTCTCGGGGGACGCACCCCGGAATCGGGCTCCCTCCTCTGTGGTTCTGGGTGCGTCGCCCGAGAAACGAAGCTGCCAAGTCATCTCAGCTCTGCAGATCCTGTGTTGTCTGCCCCCTGGTGGTCAGTGAGCATCATAGCAACCAGTCAGAGCTTCTGCCCCCTGGTGGTCAGTGCGCATCATAGCAACCAGTCAGAGCTTCTGCCCCCTGGTGGTCAGTGCACGTCAGATATACCGGTCAGAGCGTCTGCCCCCTGGTGGTCAGTGTGTGTCATAGCTACCGGTCAGAGCGTCTGCCCCCTGGTGGTCAGTGCGCATCATAGCGACCAGTCAGAGCTTCTGCCCCCTGGTGGTCAGTGCATGTCATAGCTACCTGTCAGAGCGTCTGCCCCCTAGTGGTCAGTGCACGTCATAGCTACCGGTCAGAGCATCTGCCCCCTGGTGGTCAGTGCGCGTCATAGCTACCGGTCAGAGCGTCTGCCCCCTGGTGGTCAGTGCACGTCATAGCTACCAGTCGGAGCGTCTGCCCCCTGGTGGTCAGTGCACGTCATAGCTACTATTCGGGAGTGCCTGCCCCCTGCTGGTCAGTGCATGTCATAGATACCAGTGGGAGTGTCTGCCCCCTGCTGGTCAGTGCATGTCATAGCAACCAGTCAGAGCGTCTGCCCCCTCGTGGTCAGTGCATGTCATAGCGACCAGTCAGAGTGTCTGCCCCCTGGTGGTCAGTGCATGTCATAGCGACCAGTCAGAGTGTCTGCCCCCTGGTGGTCAGTGAGTGTCATAGCTACCAGTCAGGAGTGTCTGCCCCCTGGTGGTCAGTGCATGTCATAGCTACCAGTCAGAGTGTCTGCCCCCTGGTGGTCAGTGCACGTCATAGCGACCAGAGTGTCTGCCCCCTGGTGGTCAGTGCATGTCATAGCTACCAGTCAGAGTGTCTGCCCCCTGGTGGTCAGTGCACGTCATAGCTACCAGTCAGAGTGTCTGCCCCCTGGTGGTCAGTGAGTGTCATAGCTACCAGTCAGGAGTGTCTGCCCCCTGGTGGTCAGTGCATGTCATAGCTACCAGTCAGAGTGTCTGCCCCCTGGTGGTCAGTGCACGTCATAGCGACCAGTCAGAGTGTCTGCCCCCTGGTGGTCAGTGAGTGTCATAGCTACCAGTCAGGAGTGTCTGCCCCCTGGTGGTCAGTGCACGTCATAGCGACCAGTCAGAGCGTCTGCCCCCTGGTGGTCAGTGAGCGTCATAGCTACCAGTCAGGAGTGTCTGCCCCCTGGTGGTCAGTGCACGTCATAGCTACCAGTCAGGAGTGTCTGCCCCCTGGTGGTCAGTGCATGTCATAGCTACCAGTCAGAGTGTCTGCCCCCTGGTGGTCAGTGTATGTCATAGATACCAGTGGGAGTGTCTGCCCCCTGGTGGTCAGTGCACGTCATAGCTACCAGTCAGAGCATAGGCCCCCTGGTGGTCATTGTGCATCATAGCTACGGCCAGTTGGCCTGTCGCTTAAGCTTTTATCTATATAGATATATTGACTTCAGAGAGGCAGAGAGAGAAACATCCATGATGAGAGAAAATCACGGACCGGCCGCCTCCTGCACACCCCCCACTGGGGATCGAGCCCACAACCCGGGCCTGTGCCCTTGACGGGGAATCGAACCCTGAACTCCTGGTTCATAGGTTGTCCCACAACCACTGAGCCACGCTGGTTGGACCCCATGACCTTTCTTAATAGTTTTCCCAGCTGGGACAATCGGACGGCCATGAGTCCGGCCGGTGTGGCTCAGTGGTTCGGCATCAACCTAGGAACCAGGAGGTCAGGGTTCGATTCCCGATCAGGGCACATGCCCGGGTTGTGGGCTTGATCCCCAGTAAGGGGCGTGCAGGAGGCAGCTGATTTTTATTCTCTCTTATCATGGACGGTTCTCTCCGTCTCTCCCTCTCCCATCCTCCGTGAAATCAATAAAAATAAATTTTAAAAAATGACTACAATTCTCAGAAGCTCAAGCTCGACTCATGATGGGTGGTTGTGTCTCTAGCAGCCAGCGGACGAGACAGGAGCTGGCCGGTCGGAGGAATCCAGGCAACGAAACCAGGAGCCCCCTGTGAATGTCACCAGGGACCCCAGGCCTGAGGATGTGCTGGAGGTGGTACCCCAGTTTTTTTGCTCACTCTCGGCTCCTGCCAGCCGCCCCCTGCCTTTCCCGGGGCTCCCCGCCTGCACCCAGCAGCCGTTAACTCACTTTGTTGAAATAGATTCTACCTGCGTCTCGTGGTGTCTGCGATGCGTCCGTCTTCTCTCTAACCTGGGCGCTTGGTCTACTCGCTCTCTCCTGTCCATCAAAATCACCCCCTTTCTCTCTCTCAAAGCTGTTTTGCAAAATTAATTCAGCTGGGGGAGCATCGAAACCCAGCCGTCTGTTGTCTGATACCATCATTCGTTGTCTAAAGGCTGGAGAATTGGGGGTGAAAATTTTAAAAAATATATATTTTTATTGATTTCAGAGAGGAAGGGAGAGGGAGAGAGAGAGAAACATCCATGAAGACAGAGAATCACGGACCGGCTGCCTCCTGCACGCCCTCTCCGTCTCCCTTCCTCTCTGAAATCAATAAAAATATATTTTTTTTTTTTACAAAAAAGAATAGCTATTTAGCCCGGTCAGCATGGCTCAGCGGTTGAGTGTCAACCTATGAACCAGGAGGTCACGGTTCGATTCCCGGTCAAGGGCACAGGCCCGGGTTGCGGGCTCCATACCCAGTAGGGGGCGTGCAGGAGGCGGCCGATCCAGGATTCTCTCTCATCCCTGACGTTTCTATCTCTCTTTCCCTCTCCCTTCCTCTCTGAAATCAATCTATATGTATAAAAGCCTAAGCTACCGTTATGACCTTTCGACCAGTTCACCGGTCGCTATGACACGCCCTGACCACCAGGGGGCAGAGGCTCAATGCAGGAGCTTCCCTCTGGTGGTCAGTGCACTCCCACAGCCAAGCTCCCATGGTCCCTACCTCCAGCCGGCTGGCCCCGATCGGCCCTGAACGCCAGCCAGGCTAAGGGACCCCCACCCTCCCAAGCACGAATTCGTGCACCAGGCCGCTCGTAAAAACATCACAAAAACAAGAAACGTCTCCTGTCGGCTTGTCGCCCCCAGGTGGACCTGGCCATGTCCGTTTCCGAGATCTCCATCAGCGAGAAGGTCAGGGCGCTGAGCCCCGAGGAACAGAGGAGGAAGTGGGAAGAGGGCCACATCGACTACATGGGGAAGGACGCCTTTGCCCGCATCCAGGAGAAGCTGGACCGGTTCCTGCAGTGATGCGGGGAGTGCGTGCAGCGGGCGCCGCGGTTCCGTCCGCCTTGTTCTGTTGGGTGGACGTCTCCTCTCGTGTCTTCCCAAAGGGCGACGCTGTTCAACTCCGTGCCTGACTTCATCGTTCAACCACGTGCCCGTATGCGTCGTTATTGATGGTTGACCAACCTGAGTGCCTTCCAATAAAAAGCAACGTAGACCGTGAACAACCCAGCTGGAAGCCGCCTGCTGGTCCCAGCTCTCCCACACCTTCATGGCATCTTCTCACCTCGTCTGCAAGAAGGAGCGGAAAGAAACTTCTGGTCGACCCTCAGCCATGGTCTTGGCCAGACGAGCTTTGCAATGCCGGCTGGGACAGATGCTACGGCGTCTAGGTTGGACGTTACCATGGATTGTCTTCTGTCCCCAGGCGAATAACAGTAGGATCGTGTGTTCAGTACCTCCGGAATCCTTAAATATGAGCATCCTTTCTCTTTGTGTTTAATAAAATATTTTTACTAGAGGCCCGGTGCACGAATTTGTGCACCAGTGGGGTCCCTCAGCCTGGCCTGCGGGATCGGGGCTGAAACCAGCTCTCCGACATCCCCTGAGGGGTCCTGGATTGCGAGAGGGCGCAGGCCAGGCCGAGGGACCCCACGGGTGCACGATCGGGGCCGGGGAGGGACACGGGAGGTTGGCCAGTGGGGGAGGGATTGGGGTAGGGCTCCAGGGCGGGTCCAGTCCGTCTCGCTCAGTCCCGATTGGCCACACCCCAACAGCAAGCTAACCTACTGGTTGGAGCATCTGCCCCCTGGTGGTCGGTGCACGTCATAGCGACTGGTGAAGGCATTGACTGTCTGCCCCCTGGTGGTCAGTGCACGTCATAGCGAGCAGTTGAGCGGCCTTAGCATATCATTAGCATATCACGCTTTGATTGGTTGAACGGCCGACTGGTCGACCAGACAGTTAGCCTGTTAGGCTTTTGTTATACAGGAGGACGGCTCTAGCCTGTTTGGCTCAGTGGATAGAGAGTTGTAAACCTCCTGGTTGGTTCCAGGTGATGTCTCGCCATGACTCGCTCAGGACAACCAGATGTGCAAAGGCTACTTGCAGGCAAATGCGTGTGCCACCCGTGACGTACGTGCGACTGCTCTCTGCTGGGTCTCACTACCTCACTCCCAAGCATCGTTTCGATCTGCTGGGCTCTTCAGGCCATTTCAACTCAGCTCTTTTGGGAGAATTCTCAGTTTTCCGAGACCTACACTGTCTTCCACTAGGAAACGTCACCAAATCCATCCATCCATCCATCCACCCATCCATCATCATTTATCCATCCATACAACCATCCATCCATCCATCATCCATCCATTTATCCATCCATCCATCCATCCATCCATCCATCCATCCATCATCATTTATCCATCCATACAACCATCCATCCATCATCCATTCATTTATCCATCTATCCATCCATCCATCCATCCATCCATCCATCCATCCATCATTTATCCATCCATCCATACATCCATCCATAATCCATCCATTTATCCATTTATCTATCCATCCATCCATCCATCCATCCATCCATCCATCCATCCATCATCATTTATCCATCCATACAACCATCCATCCATCCATCATCCATCCATTTATCCATCCATCATCATTTATCTATCCATACAACCATCCATCCATACAACCATCCATCCATCCATCATCATTTATCTATCCATACAACCATCCATCCATCCATCCATCATCCATCCATCATCATTTATCTATCCATACAACCATCCATCCATCCATCATCCATCCATCCATCCATCCATCCATCATCATTTATCTATCCATACAACCATCCATCCATCCATACAACCATCCATCCATCCATCATCCATCCATCCATCCATCCATCCATCATCATTTATCTATCCATACAACCATCCATCCATCCATCATCCATCCATTTATCCATCCATCCATCCATCCATCCAACCATCATCATTTATCCATCCATCCATACAACCATCCAACCATCCATCCATCCATCATCCATCCATTTATCCATCCATCCACCCATCCATCATCATTTATCCATCCATCCATCCATCCATCCATAATTCATCCATTTATCCATCCATCCATCCATTCATCCATCCATCATCCATCCACCAACCCACTCATCCATCCATCCATCCATCCATCCATCCATCCATCCATCCATAATCCATCCATTTATCTATCCATCCATCTATCCATCCACCAACCCACTCATCCATCCATCCATCCATCCATAATCCATCCATTTATCCATCCATCCATCCATCCATCCATCCATCCATCCATCCACCCACCTAGTCACCCATCCATCCAACCACCCACTCACCCACCAACCTACTCATTTATTCATTCATCCCTCCATCCACTGCTCCATACATGCATACATCCACCCACCAACCCACTCACCCACCCATATATCCATCCATGCATTCATCCATCCATCCCATGTCCATGGAGTTCTGTCTGTGACAGGTACTGTGACATGTTCTCTCATCCCTCTCAGAATCTGGGACCACTGGTTCCTAACCGCTCACCTGCTTACCTGCCTGATCGCCCCTAACCACTCTGCCTGCCAGCCTGCTCGCCCCAACACAAGAAGTCCAAGACCCCTTTCATGACTTATGAACACCATCCATATAAGGCATACAACACTGTTCTCAATATCACCAGTCCCAAAATCTCTACTGCATAATGTCTGGCCGACAGAATCAGACAAGTTCAGTCCCCGAGGAATGCGATTGGACTTATACTACCACTAACATTTTGGTACATAGAAAGGATTTTTTTTTTAAAAAAAAAACAACCATTTTATTGGTCTAAAAATTTGTTTCTTTGGTGGATTAAGATGCGTGATGTGTACCTTTAGACCAGGGGTGGGTTGGGGGGGGGGGTCAGTTAATGAAATATCCGACCCAATATAGCCGGCTAATTTCTAAGTCGATAATTTTGTACGGCCATAGAATGAATTGCTAAATATCCAAATGGCCCCTTTGGCAGAAAAAAGGTCCCCTCCCCGCCCCGATTTGGAGAAACGAAGTATAGAATCTTGGATCGGCTGCCTCCTGCACGCCCCCTTCTGGGGGTGGAGCCTGAAAACCAGGCATGTGCCCTGATGGGGAACTGAACCATGACCTCCTGGCCCATAGGTCAACGCTCAACCCCTGAGCAAATCCGGCCCAGCACACCTTTTCCTACATCTGCTACTCTCCCTCATTTCTGTCATCTATTAATTATGGATAATAATAATATCTCCTGGGAAAACATTTCCCAAACTGTACCCCCCCACCCCCCTGCCCTGTCTAATTATGTAACCGCTAGAGGCCTTGTGCACGAATTTGTGCACAGGTTGGTCCTTGGGCCTGACCGGCAGTGGGGGCCAATTGGGGCCATGGGTGTAGGGGCCGTGGGAGGTTGGCTATGGGAGTGCACTGACCACCAGGGGGCAGCTCCTGGGTTGAGTGTGTGCCCCCTGGTGGTCAGTGCGCATCATAGACTAGTGGCCTGGTGCACGAAATTCGTGCATGGGAGGGGGGGTTCCTTCAGCCCGGCCTGCACCCTCTCCAATCTGGGACCCCTCGGGGGATGTCCGACTGCCGGCTTAGGCCTGCAGTCGGACATCCCTCTCGCAATCTGGGACCGCTGGTTCCTAACCGCTCACCTGCTTACCTGCCTGATCACCCCTAACCACTCTGCCTGCCAGCCTGCTCGCCCCCAACTGCCCCCACCCCACTGGCCTTCTTGCCCGAACTGCCCCCCTTTGCTGTCCTGATCACCCCCAATTCCCCCCCGCTGGCCTGATCACCCCAACTGCCCCTCCCTGCTGACCTGCTAGCCCCCAACTGCCCCCCATGCCATCCTGCTCACCCCCAACTGTCTCCCCTGCCGGCCTGATCACCCCCAACTCCCCTCCCCTCCTGGCCTGATTGCCCCTAACTGCCTCTGCCTCGGCCCCGCCACCATGGTTTTGTCTGGAAGGACGTCCG